TATTTTTTAGCTGAGCAGACATTGGCGTCGATTCTGAGATGCCATTATTTATAGTTTCAATTTGAAATGTCAGCAAAATATTTATTATAAAAATCAATTTAAACTAATTTTATAATACATTTAAGTCAAAATTAATATTAATTTAGTTTACAAACCAGTAATTTCCCGAAATTAGCGGCAATAGTTACGCATCTGTGCAACTATTGTCGATTTGGGATATTTTTAAAAGATTTTTAATAAAGATTATCAGTTTGCTTAAATATTTTATGGTTATATGCTATTACGTCACCAATTTTAGATCAATTTTGAGCTTTCTTTTTGAAATCGGTAGCAGAATCTCAAATTGTCAACTTTGCTCTTCTCGTATTCTTTACTTTACAATTGAATCATACTAGTGGTTGGAGACTTGCTGTTGATGACTTGAAAATGCAATAGCGAAGCGATAGGCTCGTATCGTGTCACATTGGTTTTAAATAAAAAATTATAATCAAAGAAAGTCATATGAACAGGTTGAGAAAATACACCAAAATGGCAAAATAGATTACATTATCTCTGACAATAGTATACTAGACTGAAAGTAGATAAATGGTAGTCATTAGACATTATTCATTTATTAAAAAAAAGTACAATTTACATACAAAATGTGTCATTTTGTATGTAAATTGTAATCACCATTGGCAATATATGTAAATGAGGTATAATATAGGTCGCGTTAAGTCCCGATCGTAAATTTAAAATATCTGTAAACAACGTGAAAGTTTAAAGTTATCTACTCCATGGGTATTATAATTATGAATATAAATATTTTTTTAACTATATAAGAATAATATAATCCTTAATAATATAATATTATAAACATATGAAAGTGAATTTATTTGTTACCTCTTGGCGCTTTATTGACTTGATCAATTAGTATTAAATTTGGTACTACATGGGATGGAGAAGGACATAGACTGATTTTTATCCCGGCTACGTGTACAAAATCGCTGGTAACAGCTAGTATAAGAGTTTCAAGTCTGCACTACTGGGGAGAGAAGGGCATTTATAACGGGGACTAGCGGCCCCATTGCTAACAATATCTCGGGAAACTGTCACGGTTTTGATGAATTCGTCACAATGAGTAAATTAATTTGCTTTCATCGTAACTAATCGTCCCTATCCTATAATCATAGGATAGTAAATTTATTTCAATGGAACAAAGTTTACATTACCATTAATGTTAATAAATAACGTAACGAGTATGCAGTATTTGGTATTTGTGATGTGAGGTTTATTACTCACATGCGCGGGTAATTTAATTAGAAACCTAGGCGTTGTTAGTGAAATATATATATTGATTTATGTAAACCTACATATTACATATGCATAATAAGTATTTATGTACTCACATGCGGTATAGGTTTCGGCGTCTCGTCCAAGTGCATCCCACCAACTTCCACTAACCCTGGTAACAAGGGACGAGCACCATTTAGACTGTAAAATAGGTTCACCATCATCAACGTCGTATTCTTCGCTAGGTCCTTTAAATCCACAATTTTCCTACCAAAGTGCTTCTCAATAATCTCTTGTTCCTTCACTTGTATGGTGTATCTAAACCACAATTTGTAATAGTAAGTCAAGAATGTGTTTTGTAATCTTTCCAAGAACGAGAACGGATTTGTTATAGTGGATGTTAATATAGGCATATACGATGGATTTTCTGTAACACCGACACGTTCCGATGACCACGGCAACAAACCAGTTGAAGACAGCGCAACAATCGGCGCTTTAATTCCGTAGACGTGCATCAGACCGAGCATGCAGTCGCTGTTGAAATTCTCAACCAACACCACATCATATTCTTTCCTCAAAACGTCATTCAGTGGCGGCCAGCTCACTAGTTTCGAGCAAACATTCAACGCCATCTCGTTCAATGGAACGAATTCGGTCAACCGTTGTATAATCGTGCCCAATCCTGTTATCTTCATAAACCCTTTGTGGCCCTCGAAGAAGGTTAAATCGATCGTTTCAACTCCTACTGCAGCGATCCCTTCGAAGCTAATATCGGTGTAGTTTTCCAGTGGATTTTTCAATGGAAAGAAAGACGCGACGGTCATATGGTGACCTCGTTCCGCTAATCTTCTTAGTAGAGGTTCGAATACCATTTGATGACTTTTGCCAGTGTGCGGGAAAAGGCCGAGTATACGAGCGGCTTCCGCATTATGGAACACTAAAAGCGCGGTAAAGGTTAGAAAAAGTGCGCGCATCGCACTGACTGATTCCAAGCTGAATGAATAAGGCGTCGATGTGGAGAGCGCGAATTAGCCCCACCGGGTCTTCGCACTCCAGTCCCGTAGTTATATTTAACGCGCCGCGTACCTACACAATACTTTATATTTACACTCAAAGACCGAATGTCGATCATAATAAGTAGATTATTTTATAACAGGACATAGTGACATTGTTATAGGACATACCTAGTTATGTGTACAGTTTTATGTTTTCTGATTGATACCCAATTTAGGTTGGTATGATTATTTTGAATGTTTTTATAATATTTAATAATAACATTATGGTAAATTAAATAACGCAAGAAACAGTTATATATGATGGGATAAAATGCACAAATTTTGCAGTTTTTAAATAATATATATTACCTTATAGCTTTACTATACGGGCATGTTTTTTTAGAGAGCGTCTTGGACCGGTGGTATACAAGTGTTACTCAGATCTCAACACCCGAAAGGCCGTGAATTCAAATCCAAATCACAACAAAAACCGTGTATTAAATATACGACCAACTGTTCGGTAATAGAGTTCATTAATAATCACTGAAAATACACCATAAAATAAAATACACCAATCATAAATCAAAATAATTTGAGCGGTGGACTGGTCCCCTTATTAGATGCATATGTGTTCTTCGAAATTTGGGTTGAAAATGTTGTTTTTTTTTTATGGATAATAATGGAATGGCAACCCCGTCGGCGCTAACGGTATACGCTACTACTGGTACTGGTGGAGTACCAGTGAAGAACAATAGGTGAGAATGAAAAGTCAGATCAATTAGCCCATCGGGATGAACACACCTAGAATTCATTACGATAATTTCCAGAGGCAACCAAGTTGTGATTGACTTGATAGGGTATATTGCTAGTAATGGACTGGTAGTCTGCATTACTAACAATCTCTTCTCCCCCATGTTGAGTGTTACGTATCTTTATTCTAACTGTAACAGTCGATAAATGCTCCAAATGGGACTACAATTGTTGTGAACATCTTTTTTTTATCTATGTGCTAGTATCAGTGAATGATTAGGATCTGGGGCCCCACCGCTACTCAAGTACGAAGAAATTAAGTGCCATACCAAGACTGATCAATTTAAACATACGGGTAATGATACTGAGCTCGTTGTATATGTAGGTACTGGAGAGGTCGTTGATTCCAAATATAAATACAGTGAGTTGTGTTAAGTTAGGTCAGCGATTAGTTAGTAGTATAGCTAACCTTGCATTGTATTTTATCAACATATACATAGTTGTAAGCAACAAAATGTAATAGCATTTTAATTTCAAAGTAAGAACAGAATTATTTATGACTAGACTGCTAGGAAGTAAGATTTCCCACTAAGCCGGTTCATACACGCTTTCTCTCTAATAGTAATAAACGTATCTCTTGTTTCCTCTAATTCTCGTTCCTTGTTTATGAATAGGTATAATGTACTTAAGTGAATATATATAATACCTTTTTGATCTTTAAATATATTTGTCAAATTGACACCTATAATACCCACTGACGATAATAACAATTTTTCCCAAAAATCAATGAAGAAATAAAAAATAATGTTTATTCTATTCATATAATTTGAGAGTGCACTGGATTAATTTAATTAAATCATACATATTACTTAGAGCATGTTCAGGGTGGAACTGAAACGGATTTTTATCTTTTTAGATAGCTTCAAAATTTTGGATGTTTGTCAATAATTTTTTTGCGAATAATATGTAAGGAACCCTTAGCATTATTTGCATAAAGCGTTTTAACTAAACTACGCTAGGTCGGCATACCATGTACTCGAAATATGTTAATTAAACGACAAAACTTTTTGCAATTTTCATCCGACTTCAAAAGAGGAGGTTCCCAATCCGTATTTTTTTATTTGTTACTTCATAACTATGTACTTTATATATACTATACTTCCTGATTGGCCCCATAGGAATTTTATCAAAATTGGTTCAGTTTAGTTTTTAATAAAAAAATAAATAAATGTTTTTGCACAATTGAAGTTTATATTATTATGTAGAACAAAATCTTAAACTGTAATACATTTTATGTTAACTGCCAGCACACGCGAATTCGATTTACAGAGCTTGTGAAGGGATTTTTTTATCAACAAGTGAAACGGCGAATATACAGTTAGCTCGTGCGATAAGACGGCGACGAAATCCCAAGCAAAAAATTAGGTCACAGACCTAAGGTGGTGATGAACCATTGCTCGATGAAATAAATGAGCAAACGGTATTTCTTTGTGATTATTCATCTAACTACCGTAGTATCTACCTATTAATTTATTCTGTGGTAGCTCAGGAGTATATTTTTTTATTAATCTAACAAATCTTATCATACTAGCTGTGGGCGAAAGGACTGTATGCTGGTATGGAAACACGGTGTTTTAGAAAGATAATATAATTATATAAAAAATATACATAGCAAACCAACGGAGTAAAAAAGCGAAGGCAAAAACCAAACCGAAACTGACACAGACTTCAAATTATAAAAAGAACATCTTTTTAATAAAATTTAAAAAGAAACTAAAAAGGTGCGTCGTGCACATCGTCTAGGACTAAAAAAAAAAAGATTAATTATTTACAAAATTATTAGTCGAAAACTAAACAAAAGTAATTATTTAGTTCTAACTATCGGCACTAACTTTTTAAAGGACGCCTTAACGTTCCTGATACCGTTTGAACATCAGCCACACGAACAAAATTGTCTCTTCCAAGAAACAGAGCAACCACGTGACCTCGCGGCCATGTACCTCGGGGTAAATCTCCATCAGCTATAAGAACAACATCTTCGATAGAAATACTTGGTGCTGTAGAGCTGGAACTTGAACGACGGGACAGTAAACCGGGGAGATATTCTCTTACCCAAAACATGTCACTTAGTCATACAGCAATTCTCCAGTTATTGCGTGAATTAGATCTCTATTGCAGTGTCGCTGGTAAGGAGCTGCCAGCTGTGAGCAATTGATCGCACAGCATTGCGTAATCCAAGAATCCAGTATTTTTGTCGAAGCTCGTTAACAATGGTTTCCGTATTTCCATGAGGAGTTCGAACATGATAATAATGAATTAAAGGAGAATACTTGGATGTTTCCATCTAAAAAAAATAGAAAACTTATCTTCTTCATTGACATCTAAAACCGCTGTAATACGACCAGAGATGTATAAGTTTGTCAGGACCAATTTGTGGTGACAGCTTGCGGAGACGACTCTGAGGTTAAGTGGCCGATTATTAGCAATGTATGCAATCTCTTCTTGAAAATCGTCTTCTTGGCTACGACGTAGTATATGTGACTCAGCAAGATTTAAATCTTCCGCCGTTAGAATATTTGAAATATTAGACTGTCTACGCGAAGTTAGTGCCGTTACATTAATAGAATTATCTAAAAAAGAACAAATACAATAATTTAATTTAAATAATTTAGAAATATCAACTTCTCGTTTTCGTAAACTACGCAATCGCAATATAAAAATGAATTTATGCGCAGTTGCTGTTGAACGTACTAATCTAATCCATGAACATATAAAGATGAATGAATCTAATCCATTAACGTAATAGATCAGCTGAGAGTGACAACTGCGAACTGGATGAAGTGATCTGATTGACTTGATGCAAATGAGGTTAAGTTAATTATGAGCTTCGATGATTATTAGAATGAATAAAGCGCCAGTAAGCTACTACTAAATAAGCTACTTTACTGACATCATAAAAAATCATGGAGTTCGCACTCTAAAAGAACGCGACTTCTGACGTGTATTGGTGTTAATAAAACTAGTGGATCATATACCCGTATAATATAAGCAAGCGCCTGTCGTTTGGTGAGTTTAGTAGGCATTACAAAATCTTTTGAAGACCGGTATTAACAGCGATTAAATCAGTGCCTGGGTACCATAATAAACCAAGTGTGCGTACGGGTGTACTAACATCACCTTTATCTACTTGAAGTGTATCTAATGACTAACTATGACACAAACTCTTAGGTATTAGTGATAGCGCCCTTGGTTCATTAGATATCCAGTTACGCATCTCAAATCCTGCTTTCTGATGTATATCAACAATATCTGCTACCAAACGAGCAGCTCTTTCCACAGACTCTACACTACTTATGCAAACGTCCATGTGTCCGTGATCAAATGTCCATGATCATGAACGATTACATGGGCCTTTTCAGGAAACTGCTGTTGAATATCATCAGCATTCTTATTTTAATGAACAAAGCTGTAGACGGGCTTGATGCAGCGCCAAAAATCATTAATTTAATTAATTAATCCCCCTGTGTTGTAAAAAAAAAAAAAAATCATTAAAGAAATACGAAATAATTTCAAAGGTTCATTAGGACTATCGCGCCTTGGAAAACGCTGTGCATCTCGGTCTGCGTTACGAATTTTAACCTGAGGAAACATTTCTTTAATGTCACCATTAATCGCGACACTCTCCTCACGAAAACGCATTAATATATTAAGCAGAGATTGCACGAGCAGCTCTTTCCACAGACTCTACACTACTTATGCAATCGTCCATGTAATGGTCATGAACGATTACATGGACCTTTTCCGGAAACTGCTGTTGAATATCATCAGCATTCTTATTTTAATAAACAAAGCTGTGTGGACGGGCTTGATGCAGCGCCAAAATTCATTAAAGACATACGAAATAATTTCAAAGGTTCATTAGGACTATCGCGCTTTGGAAAACGCTGTGCATCTCGGTCTGCGTTACGAATTTTAACCTGAGGAAACATTTCTTTAATGTCACCATTAATCGCGACACTCTCCTCACGAAAACGCATTAATATATTAAGCAGAGATTGCAAAAGATCTGGTCCGGTTAAAAGTAAATCGTATAAACTAACTCCTTGTGATTTAGCGGCTGCATCATTAATTATTAGCTTTCCACAAAAAGGCCAACCTCGAATCAACCCTCACGCTTTTCATGTCTCATAATATCTATACAGTCGAGACGATATTGCATTTTAAATATATTTTCTATAGACGCATCACTACCTGCGTTGCAATCACACACATTATTTACGAAATGAACAACATTCGTTTTACTTGACACAAAACCGAAAAGAACCCAACCCAAAGCTGTTAAAATAGCAACTGGTTGAGACCTAGTTCCCTGTCTAGTCGCAATAGGTACAGATAGATGCCAATTATCAATACCAATTATAATGGTAGGTTTTGCATCATAACATAACTCGTCAGCTATATCTGATAAGTACGAAAAAGTATTAATCTCATTTTTATTAACATAACGATCTGCTAAACCTAAATTACTAATAGATCTAGCTTGTTTGACATCAAAAGTTTTTATTGATTTCCGCCCTTTAATCTGAAAATCAACGTATTGAACTTCCGATTCCTTTGATAAACCACCCACACACTGTATGTCTATTCGTCCCATCTGACCCGTTACTCCTATCTGAGAAGATATTTCAGCATCAATAAAGGTAGCCGTAGATCCGTCATCAAGTAATGCGAAAGTATCAACAGAACCAGATGGACCCGATACTGTGACGGCGACGACCTTTAGTAATGGTTTACGAGAAACAGTGGTACTACCTGAAGACGTCTGAGTCACCAATTCTGAACGCGGCTGGTCCGCATTATTGTCTACAGCATGCGAACTTGACTCTCCGGACTCCTGTGTGCATTTATCCACATCTTCATTGCAGCTACGACCAATACTAGCATGATCACTAGATCGGCTGCCCCGACAGCTGGCTGCTTCAATTTCTGCAATTTCTGCATTATATTTCTTTCTCGCCACCTCCAACTCAACACGGCGACGTGCTTCGGCTGCCTCCAACTCGATCTTGGCGAGCCGTTGTGCGTGTAGCGCTTCCGCTGCAAGCTTCTTAGCACGAACCGTAGCTGATGAGCGGCTGCAGGTCGATGTGCTGCGAGCACTGACTGCGATCGGTGGTACGGTGGACACCGACGCCGAGGCGGCGGCATCAGGGTGCGTTTCCTCTGCCGACGGTGGTAGGGGCAACGCTTTTGCCGTACGAGTATTTGCCGAACTTAGTTTACGACCCGACCGTGTTTCCATTTTTTTTTGAAAATTTCGAATATTGATTCACTGAATAAAATAAATTATGGGAGAAGGACCAAAAATGTGGGCGAAAGGACTGTATACTGGTATGGAAACACGGTGTTTTAGAAAGATAATATAATTATATAAAAAATATACATAGCAAACCAACGGAGTAAAAAAGCGAAGGCAAAAACCAAACCGAAACTGACACAGACTTCAAATTATAAAAAGAACATCTTTTTAATAAAATTTAAAAAGAAACTAAAAAGGTGCGTCGTGCACACTAGCATTTATTTATTTACAGTAAACTTTAATGAGACGTGATACAAAAGGCGGCCTTATCGCTAAGCATAAGCAATCTTTGGGTAGAGGACATCGAGAAAAAGACAAAGGGTAGATGGCGCATCATTATTATATAGATACTAAACTAATATATACATAAACATACATATACATAAAAGGACACATACCACAAGAGAGAATGACGGAGGAAGATGAAGAAAGATCGCAGGAAAATAATACTTAAGGGGGAGATAGTAGGACTTAACAGAGGTTTCGAAGATAGTGAGAGTTTGAGCGCACCGAATAGAGGCAGGTAGTGAGTTCTACAAGCGAACTCTCTAAATAATAAAGGATGTAAAGTAAAATTACGATAAGAGCGGGAAATTTGAGGTGGAGGTTGTTGACACTGCGCAAAATATGGTCATTAGTCCCACTGAATTTTAAATGAATCAGCATTATAAATGTGAAAGTATCAAGTAATCAATTTAGTCACGTTTAAGTGGCTGAACGGATTTTAATGAAGTTTAAGATACAGATAGAATAATTCCCACGTACTCATAGCACACATTTTACCATGTTTCTTATATACAAAACCCTAGATTAATGCCATAATTGTACCTAAAATACTCGAAAATAAAGACGCCTATCGTTCTACAAAACAGTCATATGTTTAACCTGTAAAACTAAAAAGAATGACATAGATTATTATTAAATTAAAAAAAAAAACATTAATCTATGGTACTACTACATATATTTAGTAGATTTTTTAGGTTGAATAGGTAATTAATTTAATATTTTCACTGTGTCTAAAACTTCTTTTATTCTACTATAAATATAGGCCTTATTACGAACCTGTCTTAGAACAATAATAATATTAATTATTTAATCTGCAACAAGAAAATAGTATATTTACAAGTGCAAGTTTTTTACCTTTTTAAAAATAGATCTATAAGTGTTAGGAACGGTCAATTAGGTTGCATAATCACGTGAACCTATCCACGTCCTATTATTAGAAAAGCACAAAGTAGTATTTTTGTTACTTTTCACAATAGTCGTAAGTCACTTGACCGATTTACGATTTTATGACATAGTAATAGTCGTTTTCATATTAATATTGTGGATGAAAAAGAAACTTATAGGTAAGTATACTGTTCCACAAATTATTATGACAGTATTTGACAAATTTTTACTTCTCGAGGTATTTTCAAATATTTATTTACATTTGTTTTCTTCGAAGATATGCTTTTGTGTTTTATATTATTCTCAATTTCGTGTATAATATAGTATATATCATATATGTGTAAGTATATTTGTTATTTATATATATTTATTCGTTTATATATGTAATTTTAATATGTACGTATATCAATAATTAGTAGTACCGCATTCGAGTATTCTGACATTTCCCTATGGTTGACTGGGAGAGAATGCTTTTAGCATTAAGTCCGCCATGTACACATATTTGTACTAATGAATAAATAAATAAATAAATAAAGTTATTGAATTTCCTTCCATATAATAAATATAAATAGATTTTTTAATTACAATATACCCCATTAGATCCACCTCCACTCGGTTTCCCCTGGAAATGATCGTAGTTAATTCTTGTTAATGGTGAGCCAACTGACCTGTCTTCATCTTCTCCTATCACTGGTGCTGCCAGCGTATACTGATAGCGCAGGCGGGTTTACCATTCTATTTTCAAACATTAAAAAAATTTTTTTTGTATGTATCTAACGCATCAACATACATCAAAATTGATATCAATTTTTGATGTATATGATTTATTTACGTTGGGTCCATGTTAATGTTGATATTTTTTTTTGTTGAGCAAAAACTGATCGTTGTGAATTGAAGAGACACGATAACATGTTTTTAATTTGAATAGGTAATTAGATATTTATTGTAATCGATCGAATGCGTTGTTTTTTTTTTTTACGGAATCAGTCTCTTTTAAAGTGTAAGTAGGCACTTAGACTAAGTTCTTAGAAAAAAAAAATTATTGTCCTATTTATTCCCTGACTGTTTATTACTATTGACGTCTGATAAATTTATTGTTTGATTGTTTCTCTACTATGTAGAGAGGTATTGTTATTGATCGAAACACAACACATAAATTGCAGAAGTGTATCGATTATGTCTGGCAGTTTTGTGTTGCTGTTTTATAGGAAGACTATAAAATACGTAGGATTATTACTATCTACTCATGCCTTTTGAATACCGATACAGTGCTTTTAAAGTCCGAACTCATAACTGTTTGAGTAGACGTTTCAGACCGGAGGCCTTTAATAGGCAAGTAGTGTGGGGCAACCGACGAATTCCACAAGAAATAACTACCATGGCTTCCAAGGAGCATCGTGTGGAGGTCGACCTGATAGTGTATATTTTTAACAATAGGGCTGTTAGACCCTATTAATAACAATCCCTTACCTTCTTGTGATCTCACGTTATATAGTGACGATTTACGTAGAATCGTTGGTTATTTAATAAACTGGAAACGAACAGCCCAAGACTGGTCCGAGTGATGCGCTTTCGGAGAGGCCTAAATTTAAAAGGGGATTCCAGTAGGCATGTTTGTTAGTTTGAAATATTATTGAAATAAATACGTACCCACCACTCCGTGGGCCCACATAAAAGTATTTTGATTTGCTATACTTAAAATTGTGTGCACATATATAATTAATCTGTATTCTGAATAAATTTCAGAAGCTACATTTGGAATTGATGAAATAGTAGTTTTTGGCGCATTCATTGCTGTTAAAGGATTCCTCTATAATTTCGAATTTAGATTGGATCAAGTCTTGACAGTGGCGTGTCTATGCACTCGTACCGACTTTGTTTCCGTCTGCAGACTACAAACGGTGTCATTTATTGTCTTTGAACTATAATAATATTAGCACTTAAAGGTCATTGTTTATTGACGCGCTAGTGGGAACGATTGTCCTACTTAATGTATTGCTGTTTTATAAATAGGTAACTATTGTTTTGGCTCCAACATTATTGAGAAGGAGAGACTAGTCACATTAATTTTTTTGTCGTCAAGTAGTTTATCCGCAAGCTGTTCCCATTCTCATAGACATGTAGAACTATTACTATTTTGAAGTAAAATTTGCGAATGTAGCAGTGAAATTTTTTGGTATACTTTTCAAGACTTTCCTAAAAAGGAGGTTATACTTATAGACTGGTCCCATAAAAATCTTATCAAAATTCAGTAGTTTAGTTTTTTTTTTTTCAAAATAACTTGTTTTGGCACAATGGAATTCAGCTTTTTTGTGGAACACATTCATATTTATACTATATTTTAATAAATAAGCTTAATCTTTATGATGATTATACATTGATGGAATTTGATATGTCATTTTGAATCCTTTTGATGCAGCTGAATGCTCATTTGCCAGTTTCATGGTTTAAAAAATAATAGAATATAATGATTTCAATAATACCAGCAATCAAGACTACCTGAATTTATTTTTTATTAATATTAGAATATTTATTTTTGTTATTGTAAGTTTGACTTCCTTGAATAAAGTCAGGCAGATCAGTCAATAAAAATATTTGGATAATTATTTAAATAATGACAATACAATAAATAGAACTGGCTGGAAGAAGATGCATGAATTAGTTGCACTGACGAGATGAAACTCTTAGATAGAAAGAAGAAGAATGACAATACACATTTTTATCTATCACACCTAATCTGATAGATTTTTGGCAAAAGTATATAAAAATGATGCAATTAATATTAATTAATATGAATCTTTATTATCAAAATACTATCCATTCACACAGGGGTAAACTGACAAGAAATGTTACACTTGTTCGCTTGACTGGAGTTGTATATAGAGCACTAACAATAAATTACTTAATGGAAATAACAATCTCACATTATTTATGCAGCAATCAATACGACAATCATTCTGAAACAAAAAAAAAAACATATGTAAATTGATATGCTAATCATATATACCACATAATATTACATATTAACATATAACAGTTATTAATACAGTACTCTCACTATTATCAGTAAGGACACATGTTGTATCTATAACACAATGTAATGAAATTAGCAATGCTCTGTACAGTATGGCATTTAAGTTTTTGTGTCTCTCTGGAGTTAAATTCCCTTCTAGTTTTGTCACTAATATGACTATTCTAAATAGGAATGCTTCAAACACAGTTGTACTAGTTGCATTACATTTCCATATATAGGATTGGACAGCCATGGATTTTTAAATGAAATCACATTAAATAATAAGTAAGTCACTCAATACATCAATATCTATATTATTTCGAATTAAAAATTATTATAATTTCATGTAAATCCATTCATTATTTAAATGATTAAATAAAAATAATTAAAACATCTTTATAATAATAACAGGATTAAGTACTAAAAAATAATTACTAATTTTCTAAGAATATTCAAGGAATGCAACAATGTGAGTAATAAATTTACTCTTTCTGAGTGATAATTATATTCATTAATTTGGCCTTCAGTATTACCTAAGTAATCAATCAATGAGTAAGGTAGTAATTTATTAGTGATTTAAAGTAGTTGTAAATGATTTCCTTTATAGGAGTTATTCAAAGCAATATTTTTTTTTTTTATGTTAAATGTATTTATTACATATGATTATTGAAACTACAAGATTTTAATATCACCATAATTTACAGTTCATTGCTAAATGTATTTTAGGAAGAGTTGAGCTTCAGCCATAGTTTTTTAATATAAGTGAAACTTACCCATAGAGATATAAAAAGAATGACAACAAATAAAATGCCAGTTTGATCCAGCCTTCTCGTTGGCAAACTGTTAACACATCAGCATTCATGATGCTTGTTGGATCATATAAACCAGGGCCTGACATCACTGGCCTTGTGTAGTATCTGAAATTTTGGAAATTTCCTTATTTATAATTCTACAACTCAATATATTTGATAAGTTCTTCAATTTTATCAGTATTACAAAAGTTTTCTAATTTTTTCTATTATAATAAAAATATTTTTTTAGTGTGAATATTGTATAAATATAAAGAACATTAATTGAATTTGAACTTTAGTAGTGTTAAAATGAGATGATTTTATACACACCCTAAACAAACATAACCTACAAAGTCTCACCTGTGTATGTGATACAGGATCAAAGGAATGTTTATCAACAATGAAAACCATTCTCCCGAGAGCAGGAATAGAACGTTTATAAACAGATGCAGTAAATACTCCGGTAGTACCAGCTGGAATTAAAATAACAATGAGTAAGTATGCAAGTGAAAAATAAAATAGATGTTTGGGTTAGAAACTTACTGGGTTAAGACTGTTGCACTGATCAATTGGATTTTTATAATCTGTTTTTAGTTCATCAAAAGCTATAACATGAAATATAGAGAAAAATATGAGAAAAGCATCGATTATTAACGCAATAATATAGGAAAAAGCAGGGAAGCTAAACGCCATTTTGACAAAAAATAGTTGACATTGACAGATAATGTGACAAAACTTGTTAATTTATACTACCTACTAATCGTGATAGTATTCTTGATTAGGTTTTGTTTTCATGAAAGTATAGATGGAGAAAAATATATTTTCATTTTTACATTCAAACTTCTGTGAACGATTACTTAACTAGTTAAAATAAAAATTAGTAGAGAGTAGTGAATACTATTGCCGCTTATAGGACAAAGATAAAGTTGCATTTTCTTAGTGTATTCTTCAATTCCATATTTATTTACAGCAATTTACATCACCTTAGCATTGCATATGAAAAAACTACGTATATAAATATAAAAAAATATATAATTAGCTTTTGTGTTATGTACAATAAGTATTATCGACAAAATATTTTAAATAAACTGTATGGATGAATTTGTTGATCAGTTCGTTAATGTGATAGTATGCCTTTGCCTTTTTTTACGGCCTAATGACAGATCTCCAACTCATATATAAGATGCCTAAATTGAATAGTTAATAAAATATTGCAATATTATACGAAAAGTGTACTGCTACTTTGTACCTCCTTCTTTTGGTCGGATAAAACTTTGTCTACGAATTTATCAATAATACAAGTGGTGATATTTATTTTAGTTTTAATGTATACGTTTAAGAAATAAAAATGTTCAGTACGTTAGTTTTGGGATTTTGTGCTGTTCAATTTGTTTTGTGTATCGGACATGATTTTAAAGGTTTTGATGATACAATTCTCTTTGGTATAAATTGGCCGGGTGCTCCAGAGAATATTGAGAATTTGGTGGATGGCGATGTCAGTAAATTAGAGGTAAATAACGTTGAATAGGGTTTATTATTTTACACTAAATTATGCTAATGGAAGACCGATTAACTTTATCAAATGCTTTTACTTTAATACTTGCCTACATAACTGTTGCCGTGTAGTCTTTTTTAATGGGTGATAATGGAATGGTAACCCCTCTTGCGTTATTGGTATACACTGGCCGGGCACCAGTAAATGATGCTAGGTGAGGATGAAGCAGGTCAGTTAACCTATCGTGATGAATTCAACAACAATTAACCATGGTTTTGATAAGGTATATTGTTAGTAATAGGGCTGTCAAACCCCATTACTTACAATCCCTTTTCTCCCGCTGCCATGTTGTAATGGCATAGAATAGGCCACCCTTTTCTGTCCTGTGGTTATTGTAAGAGATGACTAATTGAACTTAATGGTTGACAAATGGGCAGCAGCAGCTTTTTAAAACATCATTAAAAACATAACTGCAGTTGTCAACTCGCCCCTGTCAAGCATGGCAACTACTGGCAAAACTTCCGCAATAGGGGAGGCTTATGTTCAGCAGTGGACAGTTAACAGTTGATAGTTGCTGCAAAGACTGACTGGTGATACAAATGCATATTTGACAATGATAGTTGCTGGTTATGTTGTTCTTTGTAATAGAGTAATAAAAACAAATTGTTGCAGAACAAAGAAGTATTAAAAGTCACAACATCAAATAATGAAAAGTATGAGTGTCATATACCAGAAGTGAGTGTGAAAGAGTCTACAGGTATAGAAGAATACAATGGGCCAACACCAATTAATCTGTTGAAGCCTTTATTTGCCCAGAAGATATGTTCATACCGGTTAGAGAGTTATTGGAGTTATGAAGTGTGCCATGGAAGATACATTAGGCAGTACCATGAGGAAAGAGATGGTATGATATTATTCATATTCTATCAATTATTTAGTCTTTAGAAATACAGTAAATTAACAAATATAGGGTTGCACTGTACAGTGGTAGATGTTTATGATTAGTCCTTGAAAAAAAAATAGAAATAAAACAAAATAAGGAAAATAATGTAAAGTAAATAATGAAAAATTTTTACTTCACCAAATTTCTAAAGCAATATAGCTTCCCTAAGGAGTTTTGAGATACTATGGTCATAGAGAATAAGCTTCACTCTAACAAATTCAAAATATTGAGTATTTAGTATCAATTACATGCTTGCATCATTGGCATATTTAAAATTATTTCATATATATTAACAATATGCACATAAAAAAAAACTTAATTACAAGTAGTAAGGCAAACAGGCAACAATTGGTGGCCTTATCACTTAATAGCGATCTCTAATCTAAATGCAACCTTAGGATAGAGAAGAACATTTAAGTTGTATTTGGTCAAGGTGTACATTATTATTAGTACTCTCAGACATTTTTTTTACGTAGTTAAAAGTTCTGTTTGTGTCATAAAGTGGTCACGAAATACCTAGTGTCCCATTTAATATGCTCATGCCTTACATGTGCCATGTTTAGTGATTAGGTGACATTTACATATTGCTTATCATCATTAACAGCAAATTACATGTTTGTTTCATCATTGTTTTTATTAATTTATCATGATGTAAAAAAAGAATTATAAATTTTCAGGTAAACAAGTTAAGACTCAGGAGTTTTACCTTGGCCATTGGAGTATGGAGAAGCAAGTTAAGTTGGAGTCAGACATGAAGGCTGCTCAAGAAACCAAAGAATTGCCAAAGACTACTAAAGTTGAGGGACTCGCTTTGCCATATGTGGAAATGGTATTTGATGAAGGTAACATTTACAAGTCAATTTTAAACTTACACATTTTATTACACATATTTAAAATTATTTTCAAGACTTAAATTGTCTGAAATTGTAATCCTTTAAATTGAAAATAAATCTTTAATAATAAATATTCAATTCCTACATTTTCTGTCACTGTTTACAAAGTCAATAACTTTGTTTCAACTTTTGATACAATGAAATTGGTATCAAACCCTAAGGTATGAATTTGATGTATTCTATGGAATTTTGATTTTATTACAATATTATTGTATCAATGTGATACATTGTTCATAGTAATTTTGTACATCAGAATTTTACTGGATTTGTTAATAAGTAATATGAACTTTTTTTTGTGGGATTATTCTTTTAATATTATAAATACAAAAGTTTGTAATGATGAAATTTGTACGTTGGTAGGTTACACCCTAACTTGAAAACACATTTTATATCCAGAGGAGCTAAAAACAATGCTGCATAAAACATTTTAAAATTCCTATCATTGATAGGAATTGAACTAGCAGTGATCTTTAATAAAAAGGGGCGTGTACAAAAGGTCATAGTGTGACAGGTTTTTCTGCCTGAAAAAGCTCGTCTTTCAGTAATAATAATAATAATGTATTTCTTTCTTTTCTCAATGTCCTGTATCCGAAGGTTGTCTGGAGAGATTGCTTAGCGATAAGGCCGCCTTTGTATCATTTCTTATTACAGTTAAATGTATTTACCATTTTATAAATATTGCAATAAAGTGTAAATAAAATAAAAATAAATACCCTTTACATAGGATTATTATTATATATATACAATAGGATAGTTTATATATACACAGATGATATAGTTAGTAGTTATTTTTTTTAATGGGGGATAATGAAATGGCAACCCCGCCTGCGCTGTCGGTATACACTGGCGGGGCACCAGTCAGCAGGTCAGTTAGTCCATAGTGACAAATTCCACTAGAATTTACCACGATGGTTACCAGGGAGAGCCGCATGGAGGTCGACCGGATAGGGTGTATTGCTGGCAATGGGTCAATTAGACCCCATAATTAGCAATCCCTTTCCCCCTAGTTGTTCATATTACGGTAAATATATGGGGGGAGTTCAATGTTAAGCACTGGACAAATAACGGCTGATTTCGTGATGATGATAAGCTATAACGGCAAATATATAAAGGGAAAATACACTATGTTGAACCCAAATGGTTAGAAAAGATTATGAAGAGTCATAAATTGAATATATATTTTTTAATGATAAATATTGCATTACAGGTACAGTATGTGATCTCAGTGGGAAACCTCGTCTTACACGAGTATTGTATGTTTGTTATGCACATGGAAAGCATGAAGTGTATTCATTCAAAGAGACATCAACATGCGAATATGAGATTATAATTCTGTCACCGTTATTGTGTGAACATCCACAGTTCAAACCGAAAGATGTCAGTGAAAACAGTATAGATTGCTTTCCTATGGGTGGAGCACCAAAGAAACCGAGGAATTTGTTGAAAATGGAAGTGGACAGTTTGAGGTTTCATCATCAGTCTATTCGGCTATCGAATAATGTAAGTTTAATCTGTTCTGTGGTTTGTTTGTTTTCTCTTATATAATTGATCACTATTTTAATTTTGCAATAATCTCATCCATTATTTATAATTATGAGCACTCAGTTATTTATATAACAACATATTGAAATCCTATTGCAACCTTTTGTTCCTAGAATCTGTGGGATTTTTTATTTTTAATTTTAATTCACGGGCAGTGTTTTTATTCTTTAAGTGTATGAACAGTATGTATGATCTCCATTATGATGTAAATAGCATAATGGAGTAGTAAAATGTACATGTATTTGTAATATAATATATTCTTAATTAAGTGAAAAAACATAGACAAGTTTTATAAGAGACTGTCACAGAACAAATTAAAAAATTAATATATATTCTAAAAAACCTCAGTGTCAACAGCCAGTATTAAAACTCAAACAATGATAAATTCAAATTTTATATTGGAAATTGCTGATAATATTTTACCTATCTTTCACATAAAAAAAAAAAAACAACAAAAAATTTATCTTCATCTAATTCAGTATGAAAGACTAGAAAATATAACTAATAAAAGAAATCTATGATGGACGAGATTTTTTGAGGTTGACTCTGAAATGCCAGTTTTGAATTTTATCTCTAAAATCATAAATTTTAGCTTTTTCGAAAAGATTACTCTATATTGATATGTCATTTTGATACCAAAATAACATTTGTGAATTTTAGATATTGGTAGCTATGTTCTTTTATTAATTTTAGATATTGGTAGATAATGACATTTCAGATCACTCCTGCTATATTTTACAAGTAGATAGATAGATTCACTGTTTGTTTTAAAGTATTTAATGACTTTTTTGTTACCTATTTGTTTTGTGTAGCATAGAAGCTTGATTAACATTTGTGTTGGCATGTTCAGGATAAAGAACCTAAGGATATACTTGCTGTATTGAAAGTTGAAAAGATTGATAAGGTAATTTTTATTTAGAATTTTTTATATTATTGTCTTGTATAATGTATTTTTTTATATTAAAAGTATCAATCTAATAAAAAAAGTAAGTAGCTATTCTTAAGAGTTTATTAAATATAATACTTTTAGTAATAATTACATTACAGTATTGAATTTTTATATTTTTAATTGTTATTGTCAGCATTGGAGGATAGATAATTTACGCCACACTTGAAAATGTTAGATGGAAATTTACACTTGTGTGTTTGGATGATAAATATTATACACAGTCGGTTAAATGCTTCTCTCTTCGTAATTCTATAGTCACTTGTTCACTTTACTAGACATTATTAATTTGCAAGGTATGAGTACTTTGTCTAATTCGGATTTTCTGCCTGCTTCATGAAGTTATGGCTGTTATTATACTGGAGTTATATTTTATAAATTATTGATATCTCTTCGCTAGATGGCGTTGTACAGTAATAATTTCTGATAGATAATGATTTTACTCAGCAAAAATACTTCAACTTGGATAATGGAGCTTTAATTGGAGCTAATTTTTAAAATAAATAGTGCTCTAATAATATAGTGGAATATATATATATATATATATATATATATATATATATATATATATATATATATATATATATATATATATATATATATATATAAAACAATAGAACTGAAAAGTTTTTTTTTAAAGTTGGTTGCAAATGGGGTTACATTTGTCTATATACTGCACTGTAATATACACAAATATACCTATCTATTTTTTAGGATGGCGAGACACACCTCAAATTTGAATTGCACCCCCTCAACGAGGATGAAGATTTGGCAGACAGTGCCAGTAAAGTGACGAAAGTAGTAGACAAACCAATGCCGGTGATCAGCGACCATTCACCGGTCCGCGCGTTCCTCAATGGTGAAAATTGTTTGAATGGAGTAAGTATCATTACCCACTAATGCGTGCTATGTTTTTAATTGACCTCAGCAATGTGACCTCGATTCAACGTTTCGGTCCAAACATTAGATATCTTTTAAACATTGCGTAGTTTTTTTTAATACCAGGAAATGGAGTGGTAACCCCGCCTGCGCTGGGGGAAAGGGATTGTTAGTAATAGGGACTAATGGCCGCATTGCTAGCAAGCTCTGTTGGGTCAACCTCCACGCGGTTTCCCCTGGAAACCATTGTGGTTAATACTTGTTGCATTTGTCACGAGGGGCTAACCTACTTTCATCCTCATCTATCATCCCTCACTGTGGTGCCTCGCCAGTGTATACCGATAGCGCAGGCAGGGTTACCACTTCATTATTATTCATTAAAAAAAAAAAACCTCGCGTGCACTGGTATATTCTGGGGGGACACCAGTGAGAGGTGATAGGTGAGAATGAAAAGGCAGGTCAGTTAGCTCACCGTGATGAATATATCTGGAATTCAATACGATAGTTTCCAGGGGAGACCACACGGAGGTTGACCTGATATTAACAAACCCCTTTACCCCCAAACATTTCATAGTAGGAGAGCCAAAGATGTTGAATGGTGATTGACTCAAACGTCGTGGATATCTATTGGATTTTGAAGATTACTTTGTAAATAGAAAAAAAAACCTTAAATAATCCTTCTTCATGCTATGTTTTTTCAGGGTACAGGTTGGTGGAAGTACGAGTTTTGTTACGGCAAACACGTGATCCAGTACCACGTGGACCGTGGAGGCGAGAAGACCACGCTGTTACTGGGGAAATTCGATGAGCAAGCACACCTTGATTGGATCAAGGAGAATAGGGGAAAAATGCCTAAACCACTTGGTAAGTCAGCTTTCTTTGCTAGATATGTTAATAAATCAAGGTCTCCTAAATAAAGTACAAATTAATTAATCAAATGAAAAAACAAAACAAGTGAGCGCACGTAGTCATCTCATTCTATGCAAGGAACTCGCTAGCGATAACAATTCTATCGATATAGAGAGGGCTTAATACGGTATGAGACTTGGTCGGGGTAACAATACCAATATCATTTTTAACCGACATCAAAAGAAAGCAGGTTCTCAATTCGGTTTTATTTTTGGTTTGTTACCTCCAAGATATAACTGATTTGGTTAATCCTTTTATCTGAAATAATATACTTATAGATTGGTCCTATAGACATTTTATCAAAACCGGTTCAGTAATGTAGTTTTTAAGTACCAAAATAACCGGTTATGCCACAATTGAAGTCGGCATTTTTTGTGGAACACATTTTTAAATAATTACTTTTATTTCCAGAATACCGAACAACGGTGTCCCACTTTTACTCCGGAGGCGATGTTTGTGACAAGACTGGTAGGCCGCGACAGACAGAAGTCAAACTGAAATGTCTAGAGAACTCATCGAGTCCTGCCCAAGTCTCGCTTTATTTGCTGGAACCCAGAACCTGTCACTACATATTAGGAGTGGAATCGCCATTGATATGTGATATACTACCGTTAGCGGACGAAAATGGATTGATAAAGTCGGTTAAACCAGTCTCAACGACGCAGGATACAAGTGTTGATAAAGACGATGCTGTCAGTAGTGATTCTGAATATAAAGACGTGAAAAACTTTGGCAATGATTAGAAAAATATATTATTTATTTTAAGAATTGTTTCGTTATTATTATATTTTTACGCTAAGTACCTTATTGGGTAAGCAGATACCCGAATGCTAAATACCTACCATATCATATCAGCCTTTAACTGTCCACTGCTAGATATAGGCTTCTTCCATAAAGGGGGTTTTGCCAGTACTTGCCACGCTTGACAAGCGGGTTGGTAACCGCAATTATTCTTTTACGCTGGCTTCCTATCCTTCGACCATTAAGTTCTCTTAGTCGCCTCTTACGACACTTGCGGGAAAGAAAGGGGTGGTTTTATGCCAGGACAAAACGGCTATGTGAATATTAAATATATCGCGTCAATAGCTTGACTTCTGAAATAAGGTGTATATGTTTTAAATTCACTATTGGCACTAAAAAAAAAGTTGCCAATATAAATCTGGTATGTAAATAGTACCTATTTACCTGAAATTTTTATCACGTTAAGTTCTGATAGTGTATTTAAAATATTTATATATGATTTATTTGATTGTATAAATCTGACTTTAACGTGACCAATTAGGTCCAGAGTTCGATTCTTGGTAGGGTCGACTTAGAAACAAATTTTTCTAAATTGGTTCGAATCTAATACAAGGATAATATCTAAATCATATAGATAGTATAGACTTCACCTATTTATTGAATCTGCCTTACTTACGTAAGATAGGAGATAAAAAAAATTAAACACAGTTTAAACTTGACATTTATTTACATTTATATCAACAAAACGGGTGTTGTATAAAACAGTTCTTTATATTAATTTTCTCGTACCAATTGTATGTATATATACTAAATAAAGTGCTTCGAACATGTGTAAAAATAATTCTGATAACTGAAGATATGCCGCTTCTGTAGGTACCGTGACTCACTCGTGACAATATCTTTAAATAGAAAAATATTTTAGTACAATTATATTGAATGAGGTATGTTTTTGACTAGTTGATCGTGAGAAAGTAAGGATTTTCAATTACAATATTTTCTTAATAGATAATTTGTATCTATGTGTGTATGTATTTTTGTATGCTTATGTTATTCATGTAATATATAATACAATATATTCTATTAGGTATACAACTCTGTTTCTTTTTTAATGTTGAAACAAGAACATTTCAACGGTTTCAGAAGTATAAGTATTGATTCATTTTTTGACACTTTATTAGTTTAAATTAAATATGGCATATAATGGTTTAAATAATGGTACTTATATAGCCAGTTGAGTAATTAATATATAAAATATACTCGACGATAGACAGAGATCAACTTTTCAAAAACATAATTGTGTGCATAGCTTTATTTTTCAGAATACAAAGAAAATTTTCAATTGAAAAGTAGACATAAGATTTTGATATCAACATACATATCTCGATTATAGAAGAACTCACGAATTTAAATAATTTTTGATATGTAAATAAATAATAATATTAAAACAAACAATTGGTAACGATAGCTTTTTAAATTCAAAACATGTTTACAGCCAGCGAAAAATATACAAAATTAAATGACGACATTACAAAATGTAAATTTAAATATTGCTTAGCTACCTAAATAGTATCAGTTTTGTATTGGTAGTAAGTATGTTTTGTTATTTCGAGAAGCTGGTAGGTATGTAGGAAACCATGTTCTTGTCGACCACTTTTTAAATTTAGAAGGTATATTTCTTTTTTTCTATTTTGCAATAATTTGATAACGCGCTCATTGATTTTTTATTACCATTAATTGATTTGATTGATTAAGTGCGACTGAAGGACGATTAATACCACCTCGTTTATGGATGTATTAGCTAATCTTTGCTTAAAGTGGTTAGTTAGACTTCAAAATTCGAAAACTTACAAAAATTAAATATGGTAACACTTTACAATATTTAATTTTTTTGGTAGTTGACGGGTCTTAAAAGTTGATAGGTTTAGTTCAAAAGTGGATTAAGTGTAGGAAAAAAAGTAAGAGTAAACACAAAGTTAAAATTTTGAATGTCATCAAAATTTTGTTGACTTTTTAAATACAATTTTAATAATAGTAATATGAACTTTATTTTTAAGGTCATTACATCCAAAGGTATTTTATCGTGAAACAGTTGTGACAAATTTCTTGTGGTTTCCATTGACGATTAGGCACCTATTTTTTTTTAAGTGGTCGACAACGACAAGATGTACATTACATTGTGCCATAGAAAAAATATATTTCCATAACCACCGCGGAAGTGGGACAGATACAACAACAATGGTGATGTCTCAATTCTCTAAGATACCTAGAAAATGTAGGTAAAAAATTGTCTTAATTCAACTTTTGACATTTAACTAGATCACACCTTAAATAACAGGCTAGTCGAGTGGTCGTGTCTAGGATTACGTCTTCTCCTTGAGAGGCGATAGGTATTCCCGATGTCAAATATTTTAACAATACAATCCGTTACAGTAAAACCCGCTTTAAACGATTTTAAAGGGACGTGAAGTTCAAAGTCTGCAAAAAACTGAAAGATAAGGGAAAAATTAAAATAAAATACATCACTACATATTTTTGACGTTTACAAAACTTTTTTAAACTTTTAAATTAATTTTTTTTTAAGTAATCATGTCTGTGTAATGCCGTAGTATTAATAATTTATCACTATTTTTATCCGGCGTGTCTAAAAAACAATCATAAGAAGTCAGTAAGAGAGTATAAGAGAAGGGGAACACGATACAAAGTTCTTCTTACACTAAGCTACCTGGCGTAGTAATATTATCCCGTCTTATAGGGGAAAACCGTGGTTAGTATTTGATATTATTTTAATGTGGAGAGAACACAATGTGTAAAACATATTTCAAGAGGAAAGACCGATTTAAAAATGACATATTAATTATATGTGAAACTTCATTACACCTAATCATAATAAGCGGGTTTTACCATATATTTATTTATACCTTACAACAAAGAATTATAAGACAAAAGCTCTGCTCGTGATTCCACCTCCCTAACAAGGGTATCACAAGGCCAAGTTACGGTTTCTATACAGCTGTAACACTTACAAGGAAACTTATTCAGTCTAGATATTGTCTTTCATCAGACATCGCAAAAGTGACTAAATTAAACTAAACAATAAACCCATTTTGATAATATATATTATTAAATACAATGTAATACTCAACTAAATTTAATTAATACAATGACCACAGACATAAATCGTGATAGATGGAGCAAGTATCTCGAAAACTAAACGTGCCACTGATTAGGGGGATATTTCAAAAGCTATTTATAGCAGCGAATCTTTTCCGCTCCAAAAACTATCGAAAATACCACATGCAATAGACCTTTTTCTTTATAAATTTCATTAAGGGACTTTGAATGAAAATTTAGCCGTGGTAGGATCTAGTAGGATCTTTTGGGCAAAATTGGCTCGTAAAGAATCTTCATGAATTTGCGGCGCCATCTATCTAAACCTATATCTGTGAAAATAATGGTTGTCTACCTACATCAGTTCTTTAGACGAAAAAAAAAAAGGTAAACATCGATTAAAACTAAGAATCAATATTCTTTTTTACATTGGTCGTAGATAGGTGTTTTTAAACAGAATCGCATTGGCACATGTTAAATCAAGACGCAAAAACAACACAAAATAGATAGGCACACTATTTTCATAGGTACATACCTAATGTATAGTAGAATTTAACTTTTGAATTTATAAATTATTCTTACATTTTTAATAATTTTCACAATAGGCATTGAGCGTTTTTCCCGATATTATTAGATTAATGAACATGTAGGTTGGTGTTTAATCCATTTAACAGAAAAAAAAAATTAAAGTAATTTTATAATTATAAGCACGTAACAATAAAAAATTTACTTTATTACAGAGTAATTTAATTAAGTGCTTGTAGTCTTAAGATACCATGTGAATCGTGTACCACTTGATACGATGTGAACAGTGTACCATAATTGTGGCATGGTTATTGGATAGGTAAATATTTTGCAACAATTTTCCGCAACAATAAAACCCATGATCATGAACTATACGTAAATACCTAATATAATGAAACAATAAAATGTGCCAGTGAATATTTTAAAAATATTTGCGAACGATACACAAGAAAAAATATATTATCTTTAATTAAGTATATTAATTAATGAAATCCGAACCTTAAGAAAATAGTAAATAGTCTATCATTAAATACTTAATACTAACAAAAATTTTGACTAAAGGGCCAGTGTTCGATGTGTTATAAGTTATAATAAATTGAAAGATGTAATTCATTGTGGTATATGGGCATTTAAATATATGTTACACAAACAAGCACAATAAGTATTTCAATGGGGTATGTGGATATCCCAATGTTATAAACTGTAACTAGTAGGTACATAAAATCACACGGAGTCAAATTTTAAATGCCTCTTTCTAATCATATACCTGTCTCTAACACGAATTTGATACCACAAAGAAATTTTATTTGTGGACCAGTTTGAAATTAAAATTGTGATAAATTGGAGTAAATATTTTATTTTTATAAAATCGTCACAATGCGATTTGAGACTAAGTAAATAAAACACAGCTTAGGTATGGTTCTAATAGTAGACTTTTGTCAATTATATTATAACTGTTACTAAATGTAGTGTTAATATTTGAACATGAAAATATAAGATAGTCAGCGTCAGGTCATATTACTTTAGCTTTATTTCCTTTTAGATATCCCATACCCCTCTTGATGGCTCGCCTGTGAGCCAAACAAAGGAATTATTCAAATATTAAGTACACTATTGACAACAATAAGATAAACAATAAATACACTGATCACTTTGAGATCAATTAATTATTTCTAACATCTTATACTTTTAAACGAAAAGAAACTGGTGCCGCCGTTAAATTATACGAAATTAATGAAACGGATAGAACCTCGTACCATCCTTGTTCAACATAGGTACAAAGGTCTGTAGATGTTAGATGGAGGATAGGCATATGCACGGAATGCACATAATCTAAAATAATCCTTATCCATAATACTTATTGTGGAGGTAAATATAGTACACTTGTAGATAAATATGACGACCGTCCGCTCAATCCGTGGTCTGGTGAGTATACGGCCAAATGGCAATTAAATCTACTTGTATAATATTGAACGTATTTATTTTATTTTAACAAACCACAACATGATATTATGAATTATTTTATATTGCATTCGCAGCGCTCGATTATCGTCCATCACAATATCTCTTAAGAGGTTCATTTGTAATTTTATAATGTTTAATTAATTTCGTTCAATTTAATACATATAACAGTATAATTGACACCAATATCCGCGTATCTGACAATGGCCACATTCAGGTTTATTACATAAACGTAAACTAATAAAGTGGTAACACGAAATAATGAACAAAATAACAAAATACTAATTAATGTTGTTCAATTCGAAACAACTAGGTATAAATAAACGAATCTACCGTAATACTTGTATGGTATGCGATACGGCACTCGTTTTGTACCTAATCTTGACTGAATGACAAAATATACTGATTATACTCATTAGTATTAAAAAAAAAAAAATAAACGCAACGCATCGTTTGCCACAAACAAAAACAAGTTACAAATACTATCTGCTCTTTGGCGTCCAAAAACACATCTTGTATCGGTTACTAAACAAATTCAACTTATGCATAATGTGACTAAAACTTATAATAATAAAATAATCATTACAATGTAATAATAAACAATTTGGGGAATACTTTGGAAACGATAAATCCTTTGACACAAACCTTAACCTTATTAGTTAACAACTGTGCACATGGACTCCCGTTTTCGAACGAAGCTTACGATCTATTATTATTCAGTTCAGGTGCACCGGATACATCACAACAAACGTTCGGAATCTTACAACCTTTTTTTTTTTGCAATTGTTTTTTATTTACTCTCTTTCATTGTGTATTCGTTTTTTTTTGTAAAATTCACTAGGAACGAGTTCTGGAATATTCTAGTACGGTCTCGATAGTTCTTTTGAACGTTTCAATTGAACTTTGAGTCTCTTTGTACCTATTTGGAAGCCGTTCATGGCTTGTATGGCGGCCTGGGCCGATGGCGCGTTGTCGTATGAGACGAAGCCGAAACACTTGGATAGGTTCGTCTGTTTGTCAATGAACACTTTGGCCGATATCACGTGACCGAAAGGCAGGAACGTGGACGCCAAGTCCGTGTCCGTGAACTCTTGCGGTAGGTGGTATATGAACAGGTTGCCCCCTTCTGGACCTGCGAAGATGAAAAAAAACATATAAAAGAAAATCCACAGACATTTACAGGTGTCGTGATGTTCCAATTTCTAGCATGGACATCTAACCAGAGGGAGACTTTGTAGAAAAGTTGTTTGCTTGGGCACCTCTGTCCTATTCGTGTTTCTACCGTGAAGCAGTTGTGCTTGCATGGCTGTGTTTCAGTTTGAAGGGTGAGATATAATAATAATCTTTTAGTTTTAGGTTTATACTCATAATTTACAGTTATTATGATTAAAATTTCCTTTTAATTAATAACAATTAATGGGTGTGAATTTACAGCGTACAAAGGAATAACACCTGAGTCCTCAGAAATGGCAAAACAAGGGGGGTATCATGGGCGAAACAGTATACTTTGTTATGTCTATGGTGCTACTCATGTCTATAGGCGACGGTTACCAATTTCCATCAGGTGGGCCGTCAGCTTGTTTGCTATTCTAAGTTGAATACAAACAATCTAACTGTTAAATATTATTCCTAAAACAAATTAAATATTGATGAGATTTATATAGGTGCTGTATGGGAGTAAACACTTTAGATTCTAGGTTTATAATTGGCTAAAAGTACCAAGCTATTGACGTAAAGTACCAAACTTATTCTGTATACCTAATATAATCTACGTTATGGTTTATCTATATCCCAAATATCATTAATATCTATTTAGCATTTTGATATAATAATTAATGAGTTTTAAACAAACATAAGTACGTAAAACTCTAATAATCAATGTGTAAAATTTTGTCTCACATGTATTTTATGAACAGGTTTTTTCACGAGTAAACACATATTAGCATTTGGACACGAGACTATGCACAAAATAAAGTCAATACGTTTCGTAGTCAATTTAGGCATTTGTAATGTTATAAACAAGGTCAAGATCAAGGTTATCTTAATTTAGTTAGTTGTACATACCCTCCACCTGTTTCCCGGCTGCAGCAGCCGCCGCTGAGCCCAGCACGGAGCCCAGTGGCGCCGCCGCGAAAGTGCCGAACTGCGCCGCATACGCTGAGCCGAGCGGCTCCGCTGCCGACCCTGTAGTGTTATATTGTGCTTTATAATAATATTTACCTATACAAACATCAGGTTATATGCGCTAGAGGAGTTGTATTTTTATAGGAATATTTTACAAAATACTCATAATAAGCAGAAATTTTAGATGTTTTACTAGAAGCAGCTGCCTCTACTAAAATCTAGCTAAACTATTCCCTTAACAGTCATCAGACCTACAAGAGTAGATTATTTCAAAAAGTGTATTATCGATCTTATGTTAACGATCAAAGGGATCAAATTCCTATATGAAAAGAAGACAAATGACGTTTATATTACTATAATATCTATATCTGCGTAAATAAATTTAAGAAATAATCCTTGGGGTATTTTTGGATAGATCTTTTTTACTAAATAAAGAATAGTCTCCTATACTAAGAGCTAGATGCATTGTGTTTATATCGGAGGCTAAATATTAGGCACTTATCATTTTTAGACCCACATTCTTTGGAAAATATTTAGTTCCACTGATTTTGTCACTATTTTACCCTACTTTATCCCTATCTAGTTTACTATACAAATGACTGAATGTATTCTTGTAAGTATAACCCTAGTGATAATACAGTTATAAGACTCACAATTAATTTTAATCATAATTAATATTGTATATGAAAACTTTACAACAAATATACTTGTCTCGAGACAACCATCATTTAGTTTTAGCACTTCCATGCAAAACACAACGAATGTTAATGTACATGAAACGTTATAAATACGTACGCAATCATATTTATGTGTTATTTTATGGGAAGTTCATGTATTAAATAAGTTATCTTTACTACTACATATATGTACTTAGTATTATTTTTATTAGCATACTTTTCTATAATTCCTGTATGTATTTTTTTATTATTGGTTATTAAGGTTTAAAAGAGATGGGAATTAACGATATTTGATGGAAAAGTTACACCACGGGATAATTTGACGTTTTGACTAGGTTTTATTACATCGGATATAAATCATTTAAATTATCAATAATGATAATGATTTTTCCAATAGTCTGTTGGTTATTTTCAGTTACGTAAAAGACGATCGCATTTATTTCCGTCTCTTAAAAACCATAAGTTATGACACGCGAAAATCTTACAGTATTTAATACTTAATATATACAATCTTTTATATGATTTTCAGCTAAATAATACATGAACAGTCCTTTTAATAAATGAAAATGAACAATTATTACGATTTCCAACATTTAATATAGTAGTAATTACAGTCCACAGCAAAAGTAGCCAGTTATCACACTAACTTGTGTTGTTGACCGTAAAATGTAATACAAAGCTATATTTTAATTTTCGAATTATATTTGATCATAAAACGTTCTATTATTTAAATTTAATACAGCGATGTGTCAGAAGTGTTTAAAAAAAAGTTGTAAAAAAAAAAATTGTACCAGACACAGATAGGATTTCAGAGAACATGAATATAAAACGGATCACGTTATACACACGTCTCGTAAATAAACGATTCTAAAATTTATTTTCACATTTCAAATAGGTATCACTTTCTGACGCACCACTCAAAATTTGTCAACAAACAAAGAGAGAGTAAATTAAAAAATAGAAATTAAAAAGAACAAGCGCCCACAATCCGAACATACATGTAGGTTTCGACGAATTAAAACCGAATACGAGTTTTAAAAGACAAATATTGTATTAAAACAAAGTTTTCATAGTGAAAACTCACAAACGGCATTACCTTGCCGCTTTATATTATTAGGTACTTATTATCTATACACAATCAAGCAACGCCAGGCAATTCTACCTATTTAACGCCAACATAGAAATTGAACCAAGCGAAACCTAAATTCGTGTAGTAAATGAGATAGACTTCATTAAAATACATCCCTGGAAGTTCATTAAATTGTAGATTACTTCGAATAATAAATTACTTCTCTGTCTTCTCTGTTTTTCTGATTGTGCGTTGAGTTTCTTTTTTTTTTTCATAGAAAAGACCAAAATTAATATGTTTAAAGTATAAGTAAGCAAGTAGTAATCAAGTTTACTAATTCAGACAATTAGTATGTTATTATAATTATTTCTAATAGTATCTAAATAAGACGCAGTCAAAATATGATCTGGAATTTCCAAATTTAGTGTATTACGAGAATTTTTACAAATAAAAGGGTGTATACGTCCAAAAATCAAAACAAAACTATAAATTTATATTTTTTAAATATTGGAATAATTTTCTAAAAATAATTTTCGTAGATTTCTTGTTTTTGATATTAAATGTTATTGTCTTCATAAATTAATTTCAATTAAAAAAATAGTTTATTATTTTTTTTTTTTTAATAATAATACTCTCTAGTTTACTCATTGTCACAAATAAGTATGAAGTCCCTGACTTCTGAGATAGGTATGAAAAATCTGTTTTTCAGATGTCAGTGATCTCTTTCACATGTTGTTGTATTATGTTTTGAATACAAAATGTTGTTTTTATTGTTTTCATAAATTAATTTAAATTAAGAAAATAGATTTTTTAGATAACAGAGATTGAGGAATTCATAAGATTTTGTTAAACAAAATATGAATAAATTTACATAAATAAATTATCGTGTAGCTAGATAATAATAATAATAGTCTCTCTCATTCACTACATAATTCTGAAGCCAAAGATCAGTCATTCCATGTAAATAGCACACAATTTCGATACGTTTGCTTTTTACCTGTTATGTTAGTCTTCCCGAGAAGACCTGAAGTGTGAAAAATTTTCATCGTTAATTAATTCTCTTTTACATTAACTGTTCTCTATATAAATTCCAACCTGAAATAGGAAAGTTTGTGGACAAAATGGATCGTGACAATATTTCGTGGTCTAACCGTGTAACATAAAAAAAACCGTAATTGGAGTTACACTATCGTCTAAGTACCCACCTATACTTACAGGATAGGATAACCCTAATTACGGATTTGGACAGTCAGCGCAATTAGTGTTGAATTTATTTCGCTTAATTGTCCTATAGGGCGAATTTAGGGTTGGAACACGTTCGGCATTAGAGAAGAAATGACTATTAACGTTGGCATTTTTATTCTCATAGTACCGGACGTTCTTATTAAAGAGTCTTCGCTAATGAGGCCGTTTCGATTCGAGGGAGGGGCAGCGTGACGTACGAACAAGAATTCTGTGTTTCCTTGGCAATTCAGTACTTTTAGCAGTACGAGTAATAGGCCCCTATTAACCTTGAGAAAGTTACAGATGACTGTAAATGCCGCTTTCATTAAAGCGAATTTATGTCTGAATATTTTACCTCATTTATTTCTTGTCTTGTAAATATTTGATCTAATTACTAAAGTGTACGAAATAATGATACTTACACAATTGCGGCGCGGCTGGCTGCGGCGCCGCTGCCGGTGCCATTGGAGTCGCCTGCGTTACCACGGGGGTCGGCGCCATTGCAGCTAGAGCTGCTAAGTTCTGCACCGATACCGGTGCCAGCATCCCGCTGAGCTGGTCACTCGTCCCCCCACCGATCCCACCCACCCCGCTGACGGCCGCAACCCCGCTCACAGCGCCCCCACTCAGGCCTGCGCCAGGGAAACCGATATCTGGATAGTTAACACCTATGAGCAACGAAAAAGTTTTTTAAAACAAAAAAAAAAAGCAAAAAAGCCAAATTAAAATATAGGAATACAAAAAGAGCAGACGCATATTATAAAATGCAAATAAAATCAAAAGATGCAGAGACTAGTTTGATGTCTTTGAATGTGTTAAAAATAAATTGGACTATTTGTAGTAACTGACTACATAATTTAGTGTTTTTCGACATTGAAGGATAATATTGCTGCCCCTAATACCTACTTAACTCAAGGCTTGTGAATCATTAAAACAAACAGTGAGTCAATTTGCCAACCACGACTAGTTAGCTACTCATAAAATGTATTGACTTAAAACATTTTGCTGTTCGATTCCACTTCTATTAGTACATGTACGCTATAAAACTCAGTTGGATCACGATTACTGATGTTGCTGAAGCCAAAATGGTAGAAACTTATCTATCATACATTAGGTTGTTGACGTGGTAGGCAAAGATAATACATATCTTACTTTTTTTATTTTCATGATTCTTCCAGCCAACTAAATATATTTATAAACAATATAGTTAGCGGCGTATTTATAAATACCTTGCAATAATGTTGACCCCTGCCCTTGCAGTAACTGTTGCTGCAATCCAACTGCTTGGATTTGCTGCAGCAGCTGCAATTGCGTCGGGGACAGCGCCGCTTCAGAAGCGAGGTACGTAGTTGGAGCAACAGGCGTTGTTAGACTCCATAAGCTCGCTTGCATCGCTTGAAGCTTCTTTTGTTCCTTCTCTTTTTGCGTATCAGCGAATTTAACAACTAATGGCGCTGAACAACCTTCCATTGTTTGACTATGATGTAGTGCCTGTAAGGTAGAGAGCAGTGCTATTAGAATATGAGAAAATTCACTAGATTGGTGGAAAAAAACGAATTTGTTCGAGAATCAAGACCTATTATTTTATTGATTAGCAAATTCTGAACAAGAAAGACAATTGAATGTTAATTGAAAGCTTGAATTTGGTGCGGTACCTACAAAAGGCAATTTTAAGGTTTTGCTTTTTTTTCTATATTTACTTACTAACAATAAAGTCAATACAGAAGTTAAAAAAAATCTATTTCGAGAATTTTGGGAAACATTGATTCTATGCATAGTTCGTCATTTGTATACCATATTTTATTGATGAAGTTATTTAAATAAATATTAAAATACAGTAAATAGACGTATAAAATTAATTAAAGATTAATTTTATATAAATAAAATTAATAATTATTAATAATGATATTTTATTAGGCAGTAGTAGTTAGTTTGATATGAGGCACCTCATCCAAAAAGAATCACTGATCACTCGCAAAATAAGACATCATTGATGCGAACAAAATTAATACCTCTGGCTATTATGAAATCATATAATTACCTTAATAGCAGCTATAGCCGCCTGCTTAGATACGAAAGTAACAAATGCGCAGCCTTTACTTTGACCCTGCGCATCCCTCAGTACCGTGCACTCCTCGATGGCCCCGTGTCCAGCGAACAAGCCCCGCACGTCATTCTCCGATAGCTTTTTGTTGAGCATGCCCACGAAAAGCTTGCGTTCTGTCGACAAAGAAATATATAATTATATATTTCGGATTACTAATAAAGCAATCCGCCTCGGCTTCGTATATTTTTTTAAGTATACAGGCTATATTACTTGCCACTGATATTTTTCATTTATCTATTAAATTATTTTATTGAAAAATTAAATTATTATATTGAAAAAATTAACGCAAATGAAAGTTTTTTTTTTATATTTCTAAGTATTTTTTTGCATTTATCCATTACAAAAATAATACTTCTAATTATAATTTTAGTTTGGACAGTACTATAAAAAAATCATACGGTGATTTACATCGACAAGCATTTTTATTCATTTTTTACATTTTGATAAAAGAGATAAATGTTATGTAGGAAATTACTCATAATATATAAGAAAAAAGTAACAATACAGTAATGGCCTACTTAAGCATGAATTTTTACCCATAAGTAGAAAATAATAGTGCAAATATACCATAGAAATAAATAACCAGTCTATTTATTCTTATGGTAACACTATAGTGTATGAAATTTTATTTCATATGAAATTTTAGTTCTATTAGTGAAAGATATAATAGAATATCTGTTTTTAAGTTTAGAAAAAAAGGTATTTTAGGCAAAAAGGATTGAATCTATTCCTAATATGTGTATGTATCCTTCAATTTTCTTTTTTTTTTTTTTGTATTGATTATATTTCACGCAACAGTTGAACTTAGAATAATTTTATTGTAATATTAAGCTAAAAAAACTTTCATTTGCGTTAATTTTTTCAATATAATAATTAAAGATTCGTGAATATTAAATAAAAAATACGATATCGTATATTTTTCTTTTACATTAAAACAATCCACGGTGCAGAGTGCTGAATATTAATTTAAAATGTGTAATAACAAGCGTGTTAAACGCTACAGTAATTTCAAAACAATGTAAGATAAAGCGCGGGAGCCCGTTTCCCATTCGGAAATGTAACATTCAAAGTCACGACGCCCACTCGTAATATACGTGTACAGATAGCTGTATCAAATATTTGCATTGGACAGAGTAGCACACAAGTGCAGTCGGATCTCGCGCGTCAGAAATCCTCACATATGATCTTGAAATATGTACCCGTTGATCTCGAGCTCACTGGCTGAGTGCGAATTTACGACTCACCATGACACCAGTCATAAAACAGTTTTGCCCCTTTGCATACCAATTCCGATTCAAAACCTTAAAATTTTTAACATGTCGTCGACACACGAGTAGATTTTGTTCCGCATTTTGTTATGATGGTGTTTCAACGTGGAACGGTCGAGTGTTACGTCACTACAACGACACGGCCGGCATATAGCTAAGAATTTTTTTTCCAAATCCTGAGTGCTGTTACTCTATAGTAGAAATAAGTAACACGGTGACATCTACCCAAAGGAGTAACACAAATCTGTATCACAAGTTAGCATCGTATTTATAACTATTTCTTTGTTAAGAAAATGATTGATAGAGGACTTCGATCGTGATAAAATTAATATTAACTTGTTATTTTATTATTCTTAATTTGAAATTAATAAAATGCGTTCATACACGATAAGATGTTTCATAGATCAATTATATTTAAAACATACTAATATACAAATTCAAATTTAACAAATCTGAATCGTTTTAGACTGCAACAAGTAGGATTTAGCTTTGAATAGAGAAATAGAGGATTCGGTCATAAGAATTATCTAGAATTGGTGATGATATCGTAAAAATACACATACTATAAAATGCAGGCGAATTCGAATCTCCTTCTGTTGGAAGTCACTTAAAATATAAGTTGCGAGGTTACCCGCACCATTAAAAGGCAAATAGGAAAATATTTTTCTTCCAAAAACCGTAGGCTCAAAGGAAACACACAATGCAATGTTGAATGTAACGCGTAAAATTCAACATTCGGCGTTCTCAAAACCCCGGAGGGGGTGGTGCGAGGTGAAATTGAAAAGGTAGCAAGCCGGGGCCGTCTGTTACAAATATTTCATGCCCGCAAAATCAGCACGCTCGCACGGAGATTAGCATGAAAATGGCGCGAGAAAACGAGACGGGATCTGGTGAAAAACTCGCAGCGCAAAGCGCGGATACCCTAATTTCCACCGCTTTGCTTTGTACAGGATGAATGTTTAAATTTGAGAGATCAACACACGTGAAAATGCCTAGAGCGCCGGCCCAACTGCCTGCGGGGATTGAACAACAAATTAAGTACGCTTGTGCGTATTCGTAAGTGTATTTTTGGCCTCCGGGTTTCAACAATAAAAATATATTCTCGATGACAACACTTTGTATAAGTTATTAAAGAGGCTTTCAGTTTCATTTTTAGCTTTGTTCTTTTTTTTATTTTTAGAATTGGCAACAAAATAATATGCAATGAAAATAGAACAGATCGTTTTGCATTTCAACGTGATAACGCCAGTATGTTAATTTAACAAGTAATTAGTAGCTAGCGCTATGGTAGTTTATTTGTCTCGCATAAATAACGATGTCTACTTAATTCCCGTATACAAATCTTTCAAATTAATATGCTTGAAGTTATGTTGATTAAAGTGCTATTCAGAATGTTTAATAAATTTCGGATTGTCAATTCTCAATTGTGAAAAAAATATGAAATTAAAATAATAACATAATTTTATTTTATTTTTCTATATTTAGTATAACAACAGTCTTAAAATTAATAATTACTACATGGAACGAATCTATGAACATATTACAAGTGGGTATTACAATTAGTTTGAACCGACAATCTCCAAAGTGAGGTGTTGTAAAAAAGAAATAATAAAGTTCATGTTTATGATAACGATTCAGTATTCAACACTACTCATGCCTTATTTTATGATATTTAATCTTTGGGATTATTTTAAGAGTAACTTTTATATGGAAATGTGAATCTTGCATTTCACGATATAAGCATATATTAATTATATTAAAAAAATCCTTGTATGAACTTTAAAGATTTTGCCAGACACGTAACAATATTACTTGAGTGTCCACGCGATAAGTAAGCATCTTATATAGTAAGGAACGAGCTACTCTTTGGACGCTACTGTTAGCAAGTACGCCCATTCAGTGTGCCACCGTAAAAGTCCAAGGTAACTACTAATTAGAATATTTAAAGTGAATCCTCTCTTAAACACGGAGGGTAATCAGTTTAAATGCAGAAGTAATTGTGTACTTAGCGCAAATAACGTTTTAAAATGTTAATGCCTTAAGTGCGCCATCGGGCCCGTAACGGCACCGTTCGTTAAACAATTTACATAACCTCTTGACTGAGGCGCGAGGGGGACGCGGCAAGGGAGGGGGGAAGAGGAGAGGAGGAGTTATTTGTACCATAATATAAGAAGGAAACAATTTACTGTATAATTACTGGGGTATTATTCTCAACGTGTCGAAGGCTATTCATTACTGAAATGTTCACAATTGTCACTTGATTTATTAATCACGCAGCAGCAAAACTTAATGGGAAGCAGAAGTGTGTACTGGAGCAGATATTAGTACTAGTGGTAATTGTTGGCACGTCGATTTTAAATTATACGGAACATATTTCTCATCTCATTTCAACCATTATCTGTCCACTGTTGAACATAGGCCTTCTCCACAGACTGCCATAAGGAACGGTCCTGAGTCACCTACATCCACTGCGGGAGTACTTCTTATCGGTTGTAAAATAATTATCAAAATTTTTAAAAATATTTTGTAACATAAAAAATACAAGTCATCTTCTTTTTGAAGTCTCTTCGAAACGCCTCAACATGAAAGCCATCGATTCGGTCACTAAAATATCAAATATTAGAATTTTTTATAATAACTACTGGACAAATTTTGATGAGTTGATATAGACATATGAACTCAGTAACTAGGTCATGCAGATAGTTTCTACTGTGGAAAAATGTGTCATTCCTATGGGAAAATGCTAAAATACGAGGGGCGAACGATGTAGCGGGCGCAGCTAAAAGTGAATTTAATAATACTTTTATTCTAAAAATGTTTTTACATTCAGTATGAATATGTTGAGTGAATATTTACAATGCAATTAACGTATGCATTCTTTATTTTCAATTTACTTTAAAAAGAAAGAGGTACTCAATTTTTTTTTTATGTTAATTCATAACTCAGAAAAGAATTTCTTAATTCTATTGTATTTTTTTATGTTTGTTACCCCATAACTTCGCCAATTTTAAATCGATTTAAAAAAATTCTTCTTTTATTCAAAAGAAAATAAAATATAGATTGGTTCGATAGAAATTTCATCAAAATTGGTTTAGTATTTTAGTTTTAAAATAAAAATAACTAATTTTGTCAGAATTGAAGTCGGTTTTTTTGTTTGGGGCACAATCTTTAATTATGACTTTGGAATGTTTTAAGCGAATTAAAAAAAATGGAACCTCTTCTTCTTACACTTCTTTACATTTAGTGATATATTCCCTAATTTTACACCAATTTTATGATTATTTCCATAATCGATAGTATCTACTTCCCTGTCCCACACTAAAATTGTCATTATTGTAACAGGTGATTTTGTGAAATAAAATTATAAATTATTTACAATAAAAATATGATCATATATTACTGCGAACAAAGCATTGCAGTGAAATTTAGTGGAAATCTTAGGGTAGTATAATGCGCGGCGGCGGTCGACGTAAGTTCCCGCGTCGGTTGCATTAAAGTAATATCGAAAAAGAATCAAGTATACATCTATTTTGATATTACTTACATACAATATACATAATATAACATATATAATTTAATATATTACATAAAGCACATACTAACAAAATTTTACTATTTCACAATTTTTTTTTACAACTTAGAATGGCAAACAAGCTGACGGTCCACCTGATGGAAAGTGGTAACCGTCGCCTATAAATATGAGCAGTACCATGGACATAACAGAGTATACTGTTTCGCCCATGATACTCCCCATGCGTGGCCATTCCTGAGGACTCAGGTGTTATTCCTCTGTACCCAGTAAATTCACGCCATATCCCACCCTTCAAACCGAAACACATCCATGC